TGAACCCATAGCTCCTAAAGCATTAGTCAAAGAGTCACACAGCCTTCAGCCCAACTTGCCCATGCCAACCAGATATTCCAATCTGACCTAGTCCCATTTGCCAGCATTTGGTCCATATCTCTCTATACCCTTCCTATTCAAATATCCATCCAGATACCTCTTAAATGTTATAATTGTACCAGCCTCCACCACTTCCTCTAGTAGCTCGTGTCACACACGCACCAACCTCTTTGTGTGAAAAAGTTGCCCCTCAGGTCCTTTTTAAATCTTTCCCCTCTCACCATAAACTTGTGCCGTCTAGCTCTGGACTACCCCACCCCAGGGGAAAAGACCATGTCTATTTACCCTATCCATGCCCTTCATAATTTTATAAACTTCTATAAGGTCACCCCTCAGCATCTGACGCAGCAGGGAAAATAGCCCCAGCCTATTCGATTCTGAGAGATAGTATTTATAATTATTTGGAAAAGCACAGTTTTATTAGAAATAGCAGCATGGCTTTGAGAGGGGCAGGTCATGCTTCACAAGCCTTATTGAATTCTTTGAGGGTGTGACAAAACACATCGATGAAGGTAGAGCAGTGGATGTGGTGTATATGAATTTTAGCAAGGCATTCGATAAGGTTCCACATGGTAGGCTCGTTCAGAAAGTAAGGAGGCATGGGATTCAGGGAAATTTGGCTGTCTGGATACAAAACTGGCTGTCCAATAGAAGACAGAGGGTGGTAGTAGATGGGAAGTATTCAGCCTGGAGCTCAGTGACCAGTGGTGTTCCGCAGGGATCTGTTCTGGGACCTCTGCTCTTTGTGATCTTTATAAATGACTTGGATGAGGAAGTGGAAGGGTGGGTTAGTAAGTTTGCTGATAACACGAAGGTTAGTGGAGTTGTGGACAGCGTGGAGGGCTGTTGTAGGTTGCAATGGGACATTGACAGGATGCAGAGCTGGGCAAAGAAGTGGCAGATGGAATTCAACCCAGAAAAGTGTGAAGTGATTCATATTGGAAGGTTGAATTTGAATGCAGAATACAGGGTTAATTACAGGATTCTCGGCAGTGTGGAGGAACAGAGGGATCTTGGGGTCCACGTCCATAGATCCCTCAAAGTTGCTACCCAAGCTGATAGGGTTGTAAAGAAGGCATATGATGTATTGACTTTCATTAGCAGGGGGATTGAGTTTAAGAGCTGCGAGATTATGCTGCAGCTCTATAAAACTGTGGTTAGACCACACTTGGAATCTTGTGTTCAGTTCTGGTCACCTCATTATCGGAAGGATGTGGAAGCTTTAGAGAGGGTGCAGAGGAGATTTACCAGGATGCTGCCTGGACTGGAGGGCAGGTCTTATGAGGAAAGTTTGAGGGAGCGAGGGCTTTTTCCATTGGAGCAAAAAAGGATGAGAGGTGACTTGATAGAGATTTACAAGATGATGAGAGGCATAGATAGAGTGGATAGCCAGAGACTTCTTTTTAGGGCGGAAGTGGCTATCACAAGGGGGCATAATTTTAAGGTGATTGGAGGAAGGTATAGGGTAGATGTCAGAGGTAGGTTCTAGATGTCAGAGGTAGGTTCTTCACTCAGAGAGTGGAGGGCGTGTGGAATGCACTGCTGGCAGTGGGAGTGGGGTCAGATACTTTAGAGACTTTTAAGCGACACTTGGATAGGCACATGGAGGATAGTAAAATGTAGGATATGCAGGGTAGTTTGATCTTAGTAGGATAATAGGTCGGCACAACATCGTCGGCCGAAGGGCCTGTACTGTGCTGTACTGTTCTATGTTCTATGTTCTATTCAGCCTCTCCCTATAGCTCAAACCCTCCAACCCTGGCAAAATCCTAGTAAATCTTTTCTGAACCCTTTCAAGTTTCCTATAGCAGGGAGACCAGAACTGCACGCAGTACTCCAATAGTGGCTAACCAATGGCCTGTACAGCTGCAATATGACCTCCCAACTCCTATACTCAATGTTTTGACCAATGAGTCTAACCTTCTGGATTATAATTCCAAAATATCAACATTACACCAACATCTCCCCCTACATTTGGCTTTGCAAAATTCATTTGTGACTCGGATTATGTTCCGTGGGTGTAAGAGATTAAGGGGAAATCTCACTGGAATGTTCAAAATGATTGAAGTTCTTGGGAAGGTAGATAAAAAGAACTATTTATTTCTACTGGTGGGAAGAGTTCCAGATAAGAGGGCAAGTCTTTATCTGAGAAACAGGCTGCTCAGAGATAAGCACACAAAAGGCAGTGGAAATCAGATGTCCATTTGTGTAAAAGACTGATGAGAGTCTCAAAAGCGAAGGTGATAAAGTTTCACTTGGCAATAGGTGGGGTGTGGAATCATAATGGGAGACACAGTTAAGGTACAGATTAGTGATCACTGAATTGAACGGCAGCACAATCTAGAGGGGCTGAATGGCCTGCTCCAGCTCCTATTTTCTATGCTCACCCAACACGTCATTACATTGGTCGTGATCAGACCAACCAACCAAGTGCCTTTTGTTTCAACAAGAAGTTAGTGGAAGGCGATATGTAATAATCGATTAATTACCCTTTCGCCAGGAAATCCTTTATCTCCATCTTGTCCTGGAGTTCCATCTCTCCCCGGCACCCCTGGTTTCCCGGGTTCTCCCTGGAAGTTAATTGATCTCACTGTTACTCTGTTTTGAGGCAACATTCAATTAAGTGGTCAACAAGCGCTTGGAAGATGGAAATGCTTAAAACCTACCACTTGTCCTGGTAAGCCGGGGGGTCCCTGAGGCCCCTGTAAAGTAACAACAGATAGTGAGCAGTGACACTTTCTGAAAGGGTGAGTTTAACCCCCTTATTTCTTCTTAGACCAGACGAGACTCATGTTTCTTTGTTAAAATGTTTATCATGCATGCATAAGAGATGTACACAATTAAAAATGGTGTACAGCTCAAATCTTCATTATAAGAACAATGCTTTTTACCTTTTTTTAACAGATAACAAGCCTCCAAACAAGTGTTTTCACAGGTAATAATTCCCAATCAAAAGGTTACATGCTGACTTACTGATATTTCCGTCCAACATGTTCACATAGTCAGCATTCCAGATAGGTATCATATCATAATATGTTCACATCTTCAAACTATTGGTACATACTTGTGTTTACCAGAAAACCTACACTCTGTTTTCCCCTTTCAGTGTCCACAGGATTCTCCCCATATTTTGTGATCGCAAAGGGATCACGTTTAATCATGATGCCCCTTTAAACTTTTCTTTGTATGGTAAATCATTAAATCCCCACAGTGTGGAAGCAGGCCATTCAGCCCACTGAGTCCACTCTGAACCCCCAAAGAGCATCCCACCCAGACACTACGGGTAATCCACCTAACCTGCACATCTTTGGGCTGTGGGAGCAGACTGGAGCACCCAGAGGAAACCAACGCAGACACGGAGAATATGTAAACTCCAAACAGACAGTCACCCGAAGTTGGAATCGAACCTGCGTCCCTGGCCCTGTGAAGCAGTAGCACTGACCACTGAGCCACTGTTGAGCTACATGGGATTTCTATGTTGCTGCATAGCCAGCACTGACACCAGCTGCCTCCAGTTCAATATTCACATCCTCAAGTTTAAACCCCTCTTCGTGGCCTTCCCTCTACATATCTCCCTCTGTAATCTCCTTCCCCTGGATCAGAACTGTCATACTCTCTTTGCTGTAA